TCATCACACTAGTCCCAACACATAGTAGTGCACACTAAATATCTGTGGAAAGATGAAAGAGACTCAAGGCCTGAGGAAGAAAGGCAACTTAACCACTGGTACTAAAATTCACTGCCATTTGTTAAGCACCTACTACTGGTATGCACAGGGCAGGAAGCCTAATCCTGCCATATGTCTGATCTCTCTGAGATCCTCAGTCCCAGTCATTTTGCTCCCATTATACAGATGAAGAAAAGGAGGCTCGAAGGTCATGGCAGTTGCCCCTGGTCAGTCAGCTGGGAAGAGGGGAGCTGCAGGTGAAACCTTGGTCTGTGGGCTCCACGCGTTGCTCCTTGCAGAGTAAGAGGAAACCCAGGCACCGCCTAGCACTGCGCCTATAACCTCACTACTAGGTAAGTGGCAGGACCTGGTCTCCACTTGGCTGACACTCCACCTCAAACCCCAGACTTCTAAACTTGCCATGCCCTACAGAGGGGCTCCCACACCTATGCCCACCCCCCCCTCAACCCCCTGGAATAGACAAGGCAGCCTTGTCCCCAGACAAAACTAGAATCCAGCTGAGTCTCTGAATCCAGCACTTTTTACAGTCCTGAATGGAAACGTTCTCCCCACCCCCTTCATTCTTGTTAGTCTTTTTTTTTAATTGTGGTGAGATGTACATAACATAAAATTTACCATTTTAACCATTTCTAAGTGTGCAATTCAGTGGCGCAGTGCTATACAACCATCATCACTACCCAGCTCAGAATGTTTCCATCATGTCAAACAGACGCCCACATCCATTAAACAAGAACGCCCCACCCTCCTCACCCGCCTCTGGAACCCCTACTCTACTTTCTGTCCCTACGAAGTTGCTTATTCTAGGTACCGCAGATAAGAGGACTCAGACGATATCTGCCTTTTGGTTTCTGGCTTATTTCACTTAGTGTTAAGGACTGATTATGTGCCCCCAAAAAACTCCTACCCCCCGTGCCTCTGACTATGACTGTATTTAGAGATAGGGCCTTTATGGGGATGATTACATGGAAAGCAGTCTTGGCCGGAGTAGAAGGCGGCAGTTGTTAAACTGTTTGCACATTCCCTGTGCCGGCA